CCAAAGTCAATTGATTAAAAGTTTTATTTTTATTTTTATATAGATTATGCAGTTTTATAAATAGAAAAATAAAAATAACTATATCATGTTAAAAAAAATATGTAGTCTAACAATAATAATAAATTTCTGAAATTTTTAAAATTCAAATAAAACCAAAAGAACACCAATAATACATCAAGAGTTTACGGTAACCAATTTTAATCGTATGTATTATCGTTTGAGAAAGAATAAAAATATTATAACTTATAAAATATGGCCGGTACAATTGGTTCATATAGTCGTGGGTTAACGACAATGTTTATGGTTTTTTCAGTCATAAGATTACTGGTTATTTGCACTAGACTGAAAACGGAAAAATATCCAGTTTCTGGGTCACAGATTAACCAGTCAAACCGGCCAGTACAGTTCGAAACTGAAAACATCTGATTTATCAAACACTTACAATATAAAAAATAAACACAATCTAAGATAAATATATATTTTTAAAATAAATATAATTATAATTTATATATTAACTTTTCGAACAGATGTCATCCGTTCAGTAGCACGGGTTATACTCTAGTTAATGAATTACTAGATTTTAACCCGCGGTACACCGCGGGATAAACATTTTTTTGTAATTCATATTTTTAAAATTCGATAGGTTTAGTTGGAGTTGGTTTTATATTTATCAAGATTGCATAATATCAAACTTATATATATATATATATATAATAATATCATACTTTACTAAATCAGTTTTATTATACATGTTTTATATCGGTGTTGTTAAAAAAAAGTAAAATGACCCGTATTGAAATATGAGATTAATAATATTATATTTTTTAGTAATATCAACTTAAAATTGTTGCGTCTTACAGCTCGTCCCGTCATATAATCTGTTGGAAGCATATTACAACCTTTTCCGTGTACACTCCGGTATGTCATATAATCGCCAAAAAATTAATCCATGTTTAAAACAAATGGTAAAATCAATAATATTTTAGTATAAACTTGGTGTAGGACTAAAATATTAATATTAATAACACTCCGGTATGTCATATAATCGTCATATTTTAAATTTTATATGTAATTATAACAGTCATTTCCATCTTACAACCCGTCCCATCATATATTCCCCAAAAAAATTAAACCCATGTTTATAGTCCTGTCATTCATAATTGGAAGGTTATAATCTTATTTATAAAAGTTCCGAACCATTATCTAAAACACCAATGAGTGCCTATATTATCCTCCTCTCCTCGCCATGATTACACGGATCACACTTTTCTTTTACCTGTATCAAAGAAAGAGATGCATAAGTATTTCATAAATACTTAGTGAGGGCGATCCTCCCATCTACGAGCTATACACACAAGCAATGAGATAACACCCACATATATAACAAAAATAAACCATCCAGCAAACTAAACATCCAATAACACATCCATTTCACCTACAAATCATCACACAACAAGTCACTCAATCCCAATCTCTTAGATAAACTCATAGTCACGCACTCAACTTAACAAGGTGATTTGAATTACAAAAACAACCAGGAAATACTCTCTCCGTGACTGCAACAGCCAAACAACGCCCTACAACAAACCACACAAACACAAATCTCTAAGAACCAAAAGGACAGAAACATCATAAAAACTACAGCCGCAGAAACGAAGCCCTATAACATAAACTAACCGTTAACTCCTTAATCCCTACAGTGAAAAGCAATATTTTGACTTCACGAAGCTCCCCACAAAATTTGGTGCCGATCAGAATAACGATGAAACCACGATTGCACTTACAAACTCCGCTGATCCCAGTTCGCAACAGAGAAAACGCGTCTCACCAAACTGCATATAACTCACTGAGTATTAATCCGAATTCACTTCTGTAAAATGGAGAATCAACGTACACGCCTTAAGAACAAACCTACCAAAATTCATTACCTTTCGATAAGATTTGATACGTCGTAACTCTATTCTACCAGAACGTGACGAATCTGCTTCTCTTGCCTTAAACACCAAAGCAAAGCTAACACTCTCCTTTTCACAAGTAAACTTCTTCTTCTCCTTTTTTCAACTCAACTCTCACAAACAACAGCTACAAAACAAAAGAGAGAAGAAGCGTTCTTTATAAAACTAGAGTTTTTGGTTTAATTCTGATTAAACCAGAATTTACCTAAACCGACTTTAATTAAAACTCCTTTGGTTCAATTAAACAAATCGACTATTTTAGGAAATCAACCGTAATTAAACCGACTCCAACCTAATTCTTATACCCATTCAAGTATCGTATTAATTTAAAGAACACGGGCATTACACAAAAAAATGTTATAATAGATAAACCACATGGGACAAAAAAATATCGATTTTTATATAAAATGACCATTATTTTATAATTAATCATTTTTTTAGTAAACTGTTTATATAATTGAGCTAGACTAATCTAAAGCCATAATCAGTAAAAGCTTGTAACGGCCTACCTATACTTTGTCTTGTAGTAGTATTTTATTTTTTCACATTAGTCGTAAGAAAATAAAATTATTGGCAGAACCGCAGAAGTATATCTCGAGATCGATCGTGGTTGGTGATGTAAGTCAAAACTAGATTCGGACCCGCACGTACGTGCGGGATTGATTTCAAATCCAAAATTTGGTATTAAATTTTGATATATATTACGTACATACAAGATTATGTTTGTAAACGTAACTTTTAGAAATGTTATTAACATTTATAATCAAACCCGTACCAATTCAATATATTTTTATTAGGTTAAAAGAAAAAGTGATACGGTTTGGTTTAATTAAAGACAGCTGTACCTTAAAACAAATAGTAAAAGAAATGTGGTTTGTCAATTTCGGGACCAAAACCTTCTCTCGTGCATCCTAAAAATATTATATTTTCCATCTCATAACCATTTTAATTATTTACCCATTTGAGAGTGTATATTTTAGTTAAACATATAAGAAAATAGGTCAACGATTTAGACTTACACATAAATATAAAATTTTGTTTTTAGATATATATATTCTATATATCATTTATAACATAAACTAATATTAGTTTACTTTCATAAAGTTTGTGAATGTCGGGTCGACATGATAACAGACCCAGATTGAGTGTGAACCGTGAGCTATCAAACATAATAAAAACAATAATAATAAAAAAAAACAATTGATCCTGGATGGACTAAATATATTTGTCAACTGGATCAAACACGTCCGCTATGCATGTTCCACACTCAAAAATATTTTTAACCCAATACAGATTAAAATATTTTGACCCGCAAAAAATACATTTCCTTTAATCCACATTATTAAATAGTATGTCCGCATATGTTCTTCTTAAATTCACGTTACCCAAAATTTGTGTCGCATATTCTATCAGGAATAGTTTAGATGATATTTTTTATGTTTTAAATTACCCGTACATGTTATTTCATATTCCAATATTTGGAATAAAGTTGAATAATTAAAACTAATATAAAAATTCAAATTTCTTGTTCATGTATCATACATGTTATTTGATATTTGAAAATTGAAATTGAATTTATTTTCTTGATTTTATGATCTCCTCTCGTTACTTTTATTTCTCATCATGCTTTTTATGAGAAATAGTTTGGATAATATTTTATTTTTTTCAAATTATCCGCTTCCGTCTGGTAGCCATTATTTCCAATACAATTAGATTTTCTTTATAAATAACACCATTTACATGCTATAAAAAAAATATACTTGAAAATTTTAAAATAATCGTCCCAAAGTTGACTTTTACCAAATTAGTGAATTTTTATAGTTAAATTATAACTACCAATGTTTTTGCTTATAAGTGTAAAACCATATATTATTTGTGAGGTAAAACTAATAACGATTATGGACTACCTTAACAATGTTTTTAATTGCATTCGTAATTGCTTTTTTTTGTTCCTATAATTACGTTATTTTTTTAATTAGAAATATCTATATTTTAGGTGATGGTAATTATTATTGTGCGCACATTTGATAAGTAGACATGGTTAATTAATTTTTATATAAACAATTAAAAATATGGTTAGTACATTGAAACTTGTATATAAGATTCATATTCTGAAGTTTTGTATTGCTAAATATTTAAACAATCTCAAATATAGTTAGTATTTTATTGATTGAGTTGTTATATAGTATGTTCTAATTAATGAAGATTAAGATTTTTTTAAAAAAAAAATTATTTATATTGATTATTTTTTAAAAATAACCTGCAGAAAATTAGTTGGGAAGATTTAAACAAAAGATTTTTACAATTTAAAAATCCGAATTTCTTAAAAACAATATTGGATAGATATGTTTTAAGGGTATTTGACTACAAATTTGGGTTTACATAAAATGCAATTAGTATTTAAGATTATATAACTTTTAAGTTTACATAAAATGTAATTATTTTCTAAAATTACGTATCTCTTTTTTTTTTTTTTCCTAAAATATCATTTTTCTAAAATATATGAAATTTTACAATCATAATTTTTTTTTGAAAATATCACAAAAATATATAATTTAGATGAAATATGTTTAATTTCGAATTTAATTGTCTAATTTTATTATTATTATTATTATTTTTTAATTATTTTTTTGCTGTTTTTAATTATGTTTGGCTACATGGTTGAGATTACATTTTATTTCATTTCTTATTTTTAATTCTGCTTGGCAACACTTACAAAAAGTTCTCCCCTTTTACTAGTATAGATTAGGCCAGCTAAGAAATATTTTCTATTTAAATCTTGATTCTATCTAACTAACGTATTAATAAATTTAGTTGAACTTAGAGATATTCTGAGATAATGTTTACACGACCAGGATGGCAGGACATATACACACAATGACGAATCATGAACGTTCTTAAACGTATAAATCAAAATTAGTCTTAATCTTTAAATTCATTCTGAAACAAATATTGTAACAACGTTTATATAATTTATGATGTTAAAATCTAAGAAGTGACTATGAAATGGATGCAGAGAGTCTTAAGGAAAACAAAACTTTTAAGTAATCCAAGTCTATCTTCTTTATGATTTTTCCAACATTGAAAAAAATTCAGAATTTCATATCATAATAAAACCAGTTTCCTTATTATGTATTAGATTATTCATAGTAAATTATATTTGTAGGACTACAACAAATTCAAAAGAAAAAACTAGCAAGAAACATTACATGATACATCGACATAAATGTTCGTCGCCAAAGTCATCACACTCGCAACTCTTAGGCTTACTGGCTCCTTTCTTAACAAAGTCGTCTATGCATGTTTTGTTTCCGTCCTTGCCGCATCCTCCCAAGAATATATCCTTCTGAGCTTCCACTTCTGTTAATTTTTTATATATCAACAACAACATAAATCAGATATTAATTATTGAGAATGACTAAAACACCATGGCGTAGAAACCCTTTGTTTTTGAAAAAAAAAACATATATTGTAGTTGACAAAAGATTAGGGGTTTTTGGATTATACCTTTGACATGTCCCAAAATGAAAGACAGAAGAACGCAAGAAACCAACAACAAAGCAACAGATCTCATGATTCTTTTGGTATGTATTTTATATTTTTCACTCTTATTTGTGCTAATTTTAACTATCTTTTTCACTCTTGTTGCTCTTTCCTCGTTTCAATGGATGAATACACATTGTTTGTTCCTCAATGTATATATATACACCTGCTCCAAAAAAAAAACGTAAATATACACAAACATGGTCAACAAAAAGTTTTGGTAACATATATAGCATAAATTACTTAATCCTTTCTTGGTCAACATATCAATAAATTTTGGGAGGTAATCTTTAGTATTTTAATATGGGATATCTTAAATTAGTTTGGAAAGCAATCTTTAATTTAAGTGTTTGAAATCTTTTTTTTCGGTTCAAAGTGTAATTAAATAATTCAAATATTTTTTTGATGGGTTAGATATACTATACAAAATTTGTTTGTAAATTGTTATAGTTTCAAAATCTAAAAGGTTTTGGAAATCCATAGATTTGTAATTAACTTTTTATATTTAATAAAAGAAATAGAATATTTAAATGGCTTATTTATTTCTTTGATGGGTATGCTAATTAAGAGCTATGGATGTTTTTTTGTATAATTAAAAATTCAAAAATAATTATAGTATTTAGTTTTTTTAACACAGAAAAAAAATTATAAAAAAAAAATTTTGGATTATTTTTTTTGGTCAAAAACGGTCAACGCCAGAGTCAGTTGACCGGTGTACTTTAAAATAACATTTTTTAATTTGATATGATTTGTTTTATCATAGATATTAATTAATTAACTTAAAGATATTATATACATATGTTTTGTGAATAAATATTTTGGTTGTGTAAATATAATCTTCGTAATAATGTATTATATTTTAAGATAAGAAGATGTAAGACATATTTTTCAGTGTGTGTTAGGTATGTGTAGTTTGCGTATTGTATCACTTATTATTAATTAGTATACTTTTAATTTGGTTTTTCTAAAGTCTAAAAAGAGTTGTATATTATAACCTTTGTAATTTAATATAATTTTGTTTTGTATATGTAAATTTGTAGTTAAATACAAATGACTCTGGCGTTGACCGTTTTTGACCGAAAAAAATAATCCAATTTTTTTGTTTTTTATAATTTTATTTCTGTGTTAAAAAAACTAAAAAATATAATTATTTTTGAATTTTTAGTTATACAAAAAAACATCCATAGCTCTTAATTAGCATACCCATTAAAGAAATAAATACGCCATTCAAATATTCTATTTGTTTCATTAAATATAAAAAGTTAATTACAAATCTATAGATTTCCAAAACCTTTTAGATTTTGAAACTATAACAATTTACAAAAAAAATTTGTATAGTATATCTAACCCATCAAAAAATATTTGAATCATTTAATTACACTTTGAACCGAAAAAAAAGATTTCAAATACTTAAATTAAAGATTCTTTCCAAACTAATTTAAGATATCCCATATTAAAATACTAAAGATTACCTCCCAAAATTTATTGATATGTTGACCAAGAAAGGATTAAGTAATCACACAATAACCTACTTTGTGTGAACTTGTTTACAAGAAAACACACTTTCAAGGGAAGGTGTACTTCTTCCCTTCTTTTGTATTGAGGTGTCATTTTTTCAGACGAAAATACCATTGTATTTTTATGTTTATGTTTTATTATATTTGTATTTATAATTACTATGTGTTTAGTAATATAAAAACATACTAAAACCTATTTCATGAAAATTTTGTGATTTGGTAAAAAAATCATAAATAAGTATCAAACAAACATCTTAACCCCTAAACCTTAAACCGTTTACCATAACCCGTAAACCAAATCGAGTCTTTCTTCCTTCTTTTCTTATCTTGACCCAATAACACCTTTCTTCACTCACAATCAAACCTGAAAACACATCAAACTAAAACGAACATCAAATTATAAAAACTTAAAGAAATATGTACATGGATACCATTGGGACTTCCTCTCAAGTGAGCTTATTTATAGTCACTAAGCTTGACTTGGTATAGTCCTCACGAAGCAGTTGAACAATGGAGAGAATCGACAATTCTCTCCAAGGCTAGTGACCAATGTATCTGATACCTATTATTTGCAGCATATCTCTTCTTGAAAGTAAGTACCCTCTTTGCTTTCCTAGAAGTCAACATGTTGTTCCTCTTCTTTAACACCACAGTCTCCTCGGTTAACCCATGAATAGTAGTTGCTAGCCGCAGTAGGTCTTTCTTGAGAGTCTTGATCACTTGGAGTTCAACGCAAGTTGGAGAAGAGGTCGAGGTTTCTTCTGTTCTGAACGTTGTGCTTTGGTATGGATACGCCATATTGATCTTCATCTTCGTTCCTCTAGCAAGATCAAAGGTCATGATTCCCTTTCTCATATCAATAACTGCACCCGCTCAGGCTAGAAATGGTCTTCCGAGAATTAATTGATACTGCGGTTCTCTTTCCATCTCTAGAATCTGGAAATCCGTGGGAATCTGTACTCCTCCAACTTCGACAAGGAGATCCTCCAGTACTCCTACGGGTTGTCTTGAGCTTATGTCCGCCATCACAATCGTCAGGCTGCATGGTGTAAATGTTGTATAGCCCATCTGCTGAGCTATTGAGAGGGGCATCAAGCTAATCGAAGCGCCTGAGTCGCATAGACACCCATTAAAGATCGTTGAATTGATTGAGCATGGGAGTTTGAAAGCTCCAGGATCCCCCATCTTCTTGGAGAAACCAGAATCTTGAGAGGGTGGAGTCCAACTCTTCCTCTGCTGCATCCTTTCCAGTAGAACTTCTTTGAGAATCTCCCTTTAGGAGGGAATGTTTGCGAAAGCATCAACTAGAGCCTTCATCTGATCATTCCCTGATAGAGAATCGAGAATGTGGTTATACTCTTCCTTGATTTCCGTTTAGATTCTTCTGGGTAAAGTAGTGGTCTTCGGTTCGAGGGCTTGGAGCTGGTAGTTCTGATCGGGCGAAGAGGCTCGTCGGAACTTAATTCACACAGCCGGTTAGACAAGCAGCGTACACGATATCGGGCCCGATCGGATCCGTGGTACCCTTGATTGGACCGATCGGATCTGTGGTAGACTCGATCGGGTTCGATGTTGGCACGGTCGTGTCTGCTGTACACTCGATCGGGTTCACCGTGTAAGACACAAGTTTGGGCTGAATCCTCCCCCTATTGAACCTCACTGTCCTCAGTGATAGTTGGGTATGGATTTCCCAGTGTAATCGCATGAGCAGTAGCAAACTCTTTGGGATTCATGAAAGACTTTCCTGGGAGCTGGCCGGAAGAAGTGGAGGTTTGGTTGCCTTCCAAGAGAGCTACCTTATTGCTTAAAACATCGAACTTCTAGTTCAGCTCGTGTATAGATGCATTCATATGATTTCGAAGCTTGGCTAACTACTTGGCTTGATCAAGGTGGCTGTGGGACTGTGCTTGGAGAAGTTGATTAAGTGTTGTTCGAACATCTTGTTCTGGGGGTGCATGAGTAGGGTGATGTTGGAACCCTGGAGGATGTGCCACAGGTTGTTGATAAGAACCTTGGTACTGTTTTTGAGGTTGAAAAGCTTGTTTTTGATTAAAGCCAACAAATGGCTTGTTCTGGAACTGTTGTTGTTGAGGCGGATAGACTTGATTTTGAGGGTTTGCGACGTTGGTGCTTCAATAAGAGTGATTTGGGTTGGGTTTATAGTTGTTGTAACCCTTTTGGTAACCTCCTTGATTCTGGATATACCTCACCTCCTCAGTATTGTCACAATCACCATCATTAGGTTGGAAGGTCTCCTCCTCTTGAACAAAGTGAACATTCTTCTGCTGGTTCATCAAAAACTTATCGAGCTTGTCGTTAAGTGCCTTCATATCCTTCTTATACTTGTCCTCTTGGTCTGTGTTGCCCGAACGGTTCTGTCATAATCCTCGTTGTACGTTCCATCAGACTGAGCTAGATTCTCCACAAGTTCCCAACCAGCTTCAACATCCTTGTTTAAAAAATTACCATTGTTAGCAGTATTGAAAAGTAGGCGAAACTTAGGTAGTATCCCTCGATAGAGAGTACTAAGCAGCGACTCGTTGCTGAAACCGTGGTGAGGACACTGTGACTGATAGCTTTTGAATCTCTCCCATGCTTCATAAAAGGTTTCATTGTTGCGCTGAGCGAAGCTAGAGATGTCGTTCCTCAATCTGGCGGTTTGTGCATTGGAGAAGAATTTGGATAGGAATGCTTTCTTACACTCCTCCCAGGTCGTGAATGATCCAGCTGGCAAGGACTTCTCCCATTGATGAGCCTTGTCGCCTAAGGAGAAAGGGAACAATCTCAGCTTGAACCCGTCTTCGCTCACCCCGTTGATTTTTGTTAAGCCACACATTCGATCGAACTCATCGAGGTGATCGAGATCCATGGAATTTATTTCCTTGTATCATTGAAATGAGGCTGCTTTTTATTTCGAAGTTGTTGTTTTGTACTGCTGGCGGAACTATCCCTTGTCGAGTGGTGTGGTTTCGTGGGGCATCACCAGCTCCAATTAGGGTAAGTGCACGTGGTGGAGGCTCCAATTCCACTGGCTGAGTGTTGATGTCTGATGCTTGAACGCGTTGCTTTCCAAGTTATCTAGGCAAGCAGTCAATGTTATTGAGGTAATTGACTAGGTGCTGGTTGCCCTTGGATCTAGTGTGCATGCAAGGTTGCTTGATCAGAAACACGTGGTTAGGCTCGATCGGATCTGCAGGTGGCTCGATCGAATGCAGATTGTAGCTCGGTCGAGTGCAGAGTGTAGCTCGGTCGAGTGCATAGTGTAGCTCGGTCGAGTGCATAGTGTAGCTCGGTCGAGTGCAGAGTGTAGCTTGGTCGAGTGTACCTGAAATGCAAGATAGACAAGTAGCAAAGGTAGAAATCAGTGATCGAATAGAAACAAAAGTAAAAGAACTAGTTTTGAGTTTCTCATTCCCAGGAAACAAAGATGTCTTCAAGGATTCCTCAACCCAGAAGGAAGAGCCTCTCAAGAGCACAACGAGAAGCTCATCACAGCCAATCCGCTGAGGAAATTGCAAGAATTTTTTTAACAGTCCAAGCCACTGGAGTCGGACTCGATCGGGTCAGAAGTGGGAGAAGAGAAGCCCAAGCACGAACCCGATCACCCGATCGGGCCAGTCGGTAGGGTCAGACCCTCCCGATATTCAGAGAAGAAGTTTT